ATGGCAATGAGATGATATATAATAGAATGAATGTAAAACTAATGTTCTCCCATGTAAACTATCGCATAATTCACAATAAAACATTTAAGAAAAAAAAATGTCAAGCTACTGTTTCTTGAGATATTTTCCATCTAGGTTTATACATTCTGAAGATGGTATTTCCATCTCGAATCCTTCCTGGAAAAATTCTGCACACTTCGATTGACATCACATCAAGATGGCAGCTTGGACACCCTTGAGGGGCTCTAATCATGTTCCTTTTCCATGTTCTTTGAATTTCAGGAACAAACAGAAATCTGATGGGGTAAAATCAGGGGTGTGGGGTGAATGGGATAAGGTTACCCGACAAAATTCTTGTAGGATAGCCTTTCCTATAGCTAAAGAATGAGCAGGTGCTTTGTTATTATGGAAAACAATTTCTTGGTACACATTTCCTGGTCTTTTTTCCTCACCAATACAGTTTTCATTTTTTTAAAAAACTTCTTCATAATAAGACCATGTGATCGTCCTGTGTCTTTCAAGAAAATGTATCAAGATTATCACTTTGGTAACTCAAAAAAAAACAGTTGCGAGAACCTTCTGAGCTGACCTTTGCCTTGAACTGAGCTGACCAAGCCACACTTTTGATTGGACTAGTCTTAGCGTGTTACTGAGAGAACCTGTTTGCAGCCATCCACTGATTTCAGAGACATGTTTAAACATATTTTGTTTGGAATAAATCCATGCATGTATGAACTGGAAATCTAATGGCAATACTTGCTATTTACTGTAATATTCTTAAATTTATAAGCTTTGTTTGAACGTCTTAAACAAGTATTAATCTCACTGCATTTAATAAAGTAAGCATACTTTTCTAACTATTTTGAAACACCTAAGTGTTTCAAAATTTTGAAATGAACATTATTTTACTAATTTGTCCCTTCTAATGCTTAAGACATGATTCAAATATTATATAATATGACCAATATGTTCAGTTGGTTTTCTTAAAAAAATTCCTTCAGGACCATGTTCCAACACGTCCATAAATTTATCTTTAAAACTATATATGTCAAGGACTGTCCAATCTACTAAATATATATGTACTGAATGGGAAAAAATGTATCCAGATTTCTAACATGGAAACTAATCAGCTACAATTGTTTTCTTTAGAAATTATTAATGAAATATTCTGCTTATCATATACAGAAGGACACCTGGTGACACAGTGGTTAAAGCATTGGCTGCTACCTGAAAGGTCAGTGGTTTGAACACATTTGTTTCATTGCTTGCTACCATTAGTGATCTTAAATTAAAATCCAGAGTTCATATGTATGCAAATAAGCTGACTTTTTTTTTTTTTTTTTACTTACTAGAAGTAAAGTCCTTGTATTCTTGTATGTATTCCATGGCCGCATGAATCTGACCAAGTTTACACATACAAAGAAGAACTTTCTTGTGCAGGCCACATTCATTGTAGATAATTTGAGCTAAAGTCACACATTTGGTTTTGTTATAAGCATCCTGTTCACCATAATCAAAAATCGCATCACCAGCCTCCTCAGAAAATGTCAGCCTAGACAAAGAAGATCAAGGAGGCACACATTTGAGAATTCTTAATAAGACTCTGGAATATTTGAAAACCCAACACAGTAAAACCGGATTTCTAGGACCTGTAAGAATTCTGCTAATAAGCAACTGATCAGCAGATCTAATATTCAATAAGAACAAAAACAATCAAAGGATGTATTTCTTTGAGGGGAGACATTTTGGTGAAGTTGAACTCAAATTTTTTAAAAATCTGCAAACAAGGTTAAAACTCTTTTGAAAAGATTGGTGGTATTGAAAACTACAAGGCAAATAAAATGTCTCTCAATACTGGGGTTCTTAGCATAAACCTAAATTCTAAACCCTGCAGTTATGTATTAAATGTTGGCTAAAGATGACAACTGATTTCAGCTGATCATTAGTGATAAAGCCTGCAAGCAATTGTACTGAAAGGAAAACAAAGCAAGTGTGATGCCACTGTTATTTTTTATACTTGCTAGAGGCTTATAAGAAGCAACAGGAAAAAAACCCACATAATTGTGATACTATTCTTTTAAGATGGCTCAGTTGAATAAATTTCACTTGTCATCATAGTTTAATGCATCATCTTCATATACAACTGATGTGAACCATCTGTACTATCACAATAACTGCACCTAGAAACTATTCAGCATTAGCCAAAAGAACATTTGAGTGTGGAGAAAGATGTCACTTCTAATTACTGACTATTTAAAAATGATGCTCTAGTTATAAGTTCAATCATTTGCTACAAAAAAAACAAAAACAAAAAACAAGAATCACATAATATTGATGTCTATGCACACGCAACAAAATGTTGATAATGTTAACATGAAATCCTGAAACTCCCACAAAATGTCTCTACTGAACATTCCTATTAAGGAAAACAACGCCCTTTGTGTTGGTTAGAGTGGGCAGTATAAAAGCTTAACTTTGCTTACCTTTCCTGGGTGATCCAATGTGTAACTAAATCTAACCGTTTTTCAGATAATCCACACTTAATGCCTTCCAGGGTTAGAAGTGAATCAATAGGACGTCTAAAAGCATGGCTTGTGTTAAAGAGCGCCTCAAAAAACAACAGTAATGGAAGAGGCTTTCCTCTAATTTTTCCAACAGCTACAGAAAGAAGAGAAGTTTCTGAGTCAAAACATTTTCAGTACATAGTTTGACTTTTCTTCATATTATTTCCATCTCTGTGTGTTTTCTTAAAATTTTAAATAATCTAAAATTATCCATACGCACAAGAACACCCAAACTTGCAGATAGTACCCATTTGACCTAGCCTCAATGGCTTGATAATCAGAATTCGAATAGAGGAAGATTACAAAAAAAAAAAAAAATTTTGATAAAGGATATAGGGTAAATTGCTACAATTTGATGAATCTGACCTATATTCATTGAGGTAGTAACTCTAAATACCAACAGAGAGGGAAGGAGTCTTCACATCAAGTATCAATGCTATCCCCTCTGTACACAGGGTAGATAAGGATGGGCAACTTAGATACTGGTTACCTATAATGAGGGGGTGATAAAGGCACGAAGTGACTGGCTTACAAGTTTTGAAGAGGGAGTTTAGTTTAAGAGTGTGGGGGGAAGATAGAGTCCCCAATGAATAGTTTTCATCTTGTCTAGATGGGTCTGGTTAAAAGAGATGGGGATAAGATTCTTATGATTCAATAGTGAGTAATTGTTATCATGACTAATTGTGACTGTCACAATTGTAAAGGTAGAAGTTTTGTAACAAAATCGGGGGAGTAGTTAATCTTACAGTCCGGAAACAGAGGACCCTAGGACCATCAAGGGAGAAGAGCACAAGCCGAATGTGGGACTTTATTCAGAGAAGCATCGACACCGGAGATGGAGACAGAGATGGGGACATGGAGAGAGGGAGCAGCTGAGAACTTTAGATTCATGGAGAGAGAGGGATTGAGAGCTGCTGGCCAGGAGGCAGACTTGCAGAATGTGCCCTTTGGTATTTTAAATTATTTTATATGCCTAAGTGTTTTTTTTTTTTTCAAAAAAAAAAAGAGAGCTAAAATGAATAGAGAGAAATACTTTTAACTGATGGTACATGGAAGGGATTTAACCACTGTGATGAAACAAAGTCTATGATTTGTTAAATGTAAAACTTACAATATGCCCTGTAAATTCACTCAATTCACAATAAAAACTTAAAAAAATATATTATCCATACATTTGCAATTTTCCGCTGATGCTTCTGAATTATCTGGAATAACAACTAAATATCACATATGAAGAATGAGGCCAAGATTGGAGTGATGTGTAGACAAACCAATAAATGACAAGGATCTACTAACTAGGAGTTGTTGTTGTTATTAAGCACCGTCAATCTGGTTCCAACTCATAGTGACCATGTATAGGGTTTCCAAACAGCAGTTAGTGAATTTGAACCACACTGACAGTGTAGTTCAAACTAACCTTGCAGCCCAGTGTTTTATCCTATAATGCCACACCTGGATTCCACTAACTAGGAGCGAGGCATGAAATGAATTCTCTTCCAGAAGTTCCAGAAGAAACCAACCCAAGTGATGTTAATATCAGACTTTTGGCCTCCAGAACTGTAAAACTATCATTTTTATGTTGGTTTAAGTTGCCATGTTTGTGATAATTTGTTATGGTAGCTAAAGGAAACTAATACAACCCATCTCTTTCTGTTTTATTATAAAGGTTAATTTCTGAACCATACTAGACTACAAGGCCAGTTTGAACTTCAAGACTGTTGGTCCAAACTCACCAGCCACTCCTTGGAAACTGTACACAGGTTCACTATGAGTTAGAACCAACTATGAGTCGATGGCACTTACCAACATCACCCAGGTATAATGAAACAGACAATGGAAGAAAAACTGACACATTTGAATTATGGCACTGGTGAAAAATATTGAATATGCTATGGACTGCCAGAATAATAAACAAATCTGCCTTAACAGAAGTACAGCCAGGGCTTGTGAAGTGTGGTAGTTCCTGGCACTTAAGTGGACAGCTAGCAAGGTCAGTGGTTCAAGCTTGCCAGACGCTCTTAGGAACCCCTATACAGTGTGGCTACGGGTCAGAATTGAATTGACGGCATTTAACCACCACCACCACAGGCTTACTGATATATGAATTCGGGCTGAGTGACTTCAGGCTGAAGCTCATATCCAAGTGTAGTGTCCTTTAGGTTTTTATCAGCAGAGCTAAAGTTTTGTAACACTGCCTGTTCAGGGCAGAGTCCAGGTCAAACAACATTGGGCATAGAGACCATCTTGCTCACAGGCATGGTTGAGCAAAGTCTGTCCTGACTGAAAGAACTGTGTCCTGAGATTTCTAATCCTGAATAAACCCCATAACTGTGAATATGATTTCTGAGTTGTGAAGCAATTGCAATAAAATATCAAACCTAACTAAGAAGTAGAGAGGGATGTAGGAGCAAAAGTTGGTGTAAGAATAGGGTAAAGACAGTTGAAGGATGGAGGCATGGCGATCCTCAGCCCCTAGGAATTGGCTTTGGGCTGATGTAGAGTTTTATTCTCCCACCCCCTTGTGAAGCCAGAGGAGGTCAAACGCTGACTCTTATGCCACCTTTTCTACAGGAGTTCATTTTTTCTAGGAACACTATGGAAATATTGTTTATATTTTTAGTCATGAATAAACATTGAATTTTACAAAAGAAAAAAAAAAAAAAAAAAAGAAGTACAGCCAGAATGATCTTTAGAAGCATGGATGGCGAGACTGTCAACGTTTGGAAATGTTCTCAGGGGGCTCAGTCCCTGGAGAAGGACATCATGCTTGGTCAAGTAGAGGATCATTGAATAAGAAGAAGACCCTCACAAGATGGGCTGATACTGTGGCTGCAACAATGGGCTCAAACACAGCAACAGTTGTGAAGATGGCCAGGACCAGGCAGTGTTTCCTTCTGTTCTAAGACGGGTTACTATGAGTTGGAACTAACTCAATAAAACCTAACAATAACAACATCACTCAAATAAGAACTAGGCATTATTCGAAACTTTGTGACCAAAATTTATAATATAACGTCAAAATTAGAAATTAACAAACTCTCTATACTCACTTTCATCATCATACAATTATTATATAGTTCTCAATTATCAGACTTCTTATACCCTTTTCTTTTTTAACAGTAAACATTTAGATGAGCAATGATTTTTATTTTGAACATTAGATTAAATCTAAATAGGAAGGAAAAAGAATCAGTACTATTCTGATTTCACAGACTATATATGCTCTACTGGTTCAGTTAAAAAGCATTATTTAACAGTATTAAGAGAATAACTTAGAGCACTCTACCTAGAATTACTAGGGAATAAAGATTGTACATGAAATCGGTTTTGAGATAATTGAAACTTACGCCTTTAATTACCAAAACATTTCTAAACTTTTTAACTGAAAATTTTCTGTAAAGCATTATGAATTCTTGATATCTTTAAAAAATATATTTAATAATAATTTCCCTTCCTAATCAATGTCATTATTATGAATATCAATTATTATACACTGTTTCCAATTAATGTAAAATGTTTTCTTCTAGAGAAATAAGGTCTGACAATAAATAGTCCCAGACAACATGATTTGTTTAAAACTTTTTATTGTGAATTGAGTGAAGATTTATGGAGAAGATCATCAGTTTTACATTCAACGAATCATTTGTTTCTTTGTATCTCTCCCTAAGGTGCAATGGATGATCTTTATATGGACTTTCTTGCCATGGTCTTGTAACTCTCACCAAATGATTGGGTGTAACTATGTAAATAAGGTGCTTGTGGTCCATCAAAAGGATTGCTCTGTTACACAGTCAGTCCCTGATGTTGTTTTGGCTAATTATATTGAACCTGTCTATCATCTCTTACCACAGATGTAGTCAATTTGATTCTTGTGCATTCCATCTGGTGAGATCCAGGTGTACAAAGTCACTGTTTATGTTGTGGAAAAAGGTATGTTCAATGAATATGTTGATGGTCTTGCAAAATTCTGCCATGCAATCTTCAGCATCATTTCTATCACCAAGGCCATATATTCCAACTATTGATCCTTCCTCTATATTTTCATTTTCCTTATTCCAATCACTACTGATTATCAATGCATCTTAATTGTATGTTTGATGAATTTCAGACTGAAGAAATTGTTAGAATTCTTCAGTTTTATCATCACTGGTATAAATTTGAATAATAGTCATATTAACTGATCTTCCTTATAGGTATATTATCCTATCACAGACAGTATTGTACTTCAAGACAGATCTTGAAATGTTCTTTTTGACAATCAATGTGACACCATTCCTCTTCAATTTGCCATTCCTGGCACAGAAAACCCTAAGACTATCCTTTGGAATGTCTGTCATTCAAAATGGCAACTACCAGTCCATTTCCACTTAGTAATGCCTAGGATATCAATTTTTATGTGCTCCATTTCATTTTTGGAAAATTCCAATTTTCCTAGATTCATACTTTGTACATTCTGGCACTATGTCTGACAATACTCAGCTGCTATTCATAAACATTTCAATGGCTAACCATTTAAATGTAGTCTGTCTCTCCTTTCTAACCTGTCATAGTCTGAAAGCTCTGCTGAAATCTGTCCACCATGGTGATCCTACTGGTATTTAAAATAACAGCTGCATAGCTTCCAGAATCACATTAACACAAAAGCCACCACAGTATGACAAACCAAAAGATGAATGGTGGAATGAACCAGTCATTGTATTGTTTGTGAGTTCTGTGTGATCATCCCAATGAATTATCAAACCCAGCAGAGAGTCATAGCAAACCCAGCAGAGAGTCATAGCATGCCATGGAAAGGATGACTGGTGCTGGAATTGGTAAAAATTCTAGAGAAAGGAGGTATATTTGACCTCCATCTCATAGGAATTAGTCTTAGACTGTTGGTTGTGATGATGATTCTCTCCCCTCACAGAGTTAGAGGAGATTAGACCATCTGTGTCACCATTTTTCTGCTCCCTAATTGGTCTTTAATTTCAATATGTATCTCAATACCTAGGTCATAGTAGACATTCAAATTGTTGTTGTGGTCAGGTGCCATCAAGTTGGAACCGACTCATAGCAACCCTCTGCA